GGTACTTTCGTCTCTTAGATTTGTAGTAGTATTGAAACTAGCTAACAGTGTTGAGCACTTACTATAGGCCAGTCACTCTTTTATACAAAGGAACTCATTTCATCCTCTCAACAACCCTGATATTATTGCGATTTTACAGATAGGCAATCTGAGTCCCAGAGAGGGCAAATAACTTATCAAAGTCACATAATTGTCAAGTGGCAGAACTGTGCTATGAACTCAGGCTGCTTGGCTCTAGCGGTCTCACGTTTAACTACTCCCCCGTACAGACGCTAGTCGCAAAGATGCAGTCTCCTTGAAAAGTTGATCTGGGAAGTGAGTGGTCTATTTCAGTTTGTGCCCATGGCATGGAAAGTCTAACAGTTGTGTGAGGCATCAAGACATGGTGGGGGAGGCTGGGTGTGGTGGCTCATGCCTGTAATGGCACTCTGGGAGGTTGAGATAAGTGGATCACTTGAGGTCAGGAACTTGAGACCAGCCTGGCCAACATGGCGAAACCCCATCTCTACTAAAATTGCAAAAATGAGCCAGGTGTGGTGCCTGTCTGTAGTCCCAGATACTCGGGAGGCTGAGGCAGGAGAATCACTTGAGCCCGGGAGGCAGAGGTTGCAGTGAGCTGAGAGCGCGTCATTGCACTCCAGCCTGGGTGACAGAGCGAGACTCTGTCTCAAAAAAAAAAAAAAAAAAAAAAGACATGGTGCGGGGAGGTACTGTGGTATATGGGGATAAACATTAGATGTAAAGCTTGAAGCCCGTGCATCTGCTTCTTGGCCATGTTGCCTATGAGCCTTAGACCTTGGGCAAGCCAATTAAACTTCCCAAGCCTCATTTTTCTCACTTGTCAAATGGGATTAAGATGCTCTACCACAGAGGGTTGTTGTGAGGAACCAATGAAAATATGAATATTAAAGTGGCTTGTGAGCCGGGAAGCACTACCTGCATTTAAAATAATGAAGTTATCATTGTTGTTATCCTTAAGAGTACAGGATGGAGACGATAGGGAATGACACAGTAATCATAAGAGAGGCAGGGGCTACCCACGCCTGTTAACAGGAGGGCCATTCCCTCACATCCTCTCTGCCAGCTCCTTGATGTTGGCAGCACTAATGTCTGGTGCCTGCTCATCCCATGACCCAGACTTAGAGCCCATTCCCCTGATTCTAGCAGTCAGGATGCCTAGTTGCAAACAATAGCCACTTTAAGCTGGAAAGGAATTTATTAAAAAATAATGAGGATTAGGTAGTATTCTGGGGAGGAATAGAGAGCAACGACTAATGACCAGCCACAGCATGAGAACTTCTCCGCCTTCCAAGCCTGCAGAAGTCTGAGTCTCCTGTGCACGTTGCTCACTTCTAAATTCAGGTCTTGCACAGGTGAGTCTGACTGGTGGAACCGAGGTCAGTATCTGTGCCCTGGCTGCAAGGGTTTTCTGGCTTCTACCTTGGCAAGAGAGGACTTAGGAGAAATGATCAAAATGTAAAAGTGGGTTTTCAAAGATTTGGGTGGCCACAGATGACAAATTATCTGCCATACTGGTCTAGTTCCCAGCATGCTGGACCCTCAGAGTGATTTCAGGTAACAGCATGAGAGGAATCCACCCGAGTGCTTCTGGCCCATTCATGGGGAGCCCAGGGAACGATGTGCTTTGCCTCTACATCTGGGTGGTGTGGCAGGATGGCTCCTGCTCCCTCAGACCTAAGGGACAGGCTGTAGTGCTGCTGCATGTGCAGACAAGTGTACTGGGGTGCCAGCATGCAGGGTGGGGACGTTCCTGTGAGACTGGACCGTGGGGAAGGGTGTGACAGTTGGCTACTGCTCAGAGCTGGCCTGTTGCTGGCTTCAGCCTTTGCTGTCACCTTTCCTGTCACCATTTCAGTGTCTACAGGCTCTAAGCTAGAAACTGACACATACCCAGAGTGGCCATCCTTTGTGCAAGAAAGGAGTGCTCTTTTGTCACAGAAATGAAGACCCCATCGGGAACACACCGTAGGGGACTGATGATTACAGGTGCGCTGCAGGCAGGATGTCAGAGAGGAGAGCAGGCCTAACAAAAGCATGCGTTTATGTCTAATAGGATGAGCTGGTATGAAACAATTGGTGGGTGTCAGCATCATCTTACTGCCCCCAGCCTGGAAAGAAAGAGATAAACATGGGTTTCTAAAAGCTCTTCAAGGGGAGATTTTGCTCCATCATCTCAGAGGGGTGGAGGAGAGAGGAAGGTCTGTAAGGGTAGAGAATGAAGCTGCAGACTCTGGGTGGGGTGCGGGAGTCTCCAACTGAAAGGATGGGGGTCTGGGGCTCCCAAAAGATGAGGACCTGTGCTCAGCATACTCCCTGGGGTGGGTGGAGCCTCAGAGGGATGAGTCCTGTGATACCCTTATGGTATCTTGGCGTGCAGGATGTACATGGATGTACACCAGGGCTCCCTGGTGGCAAGACCCTTCTCAGGCTGTCTCAGTATTAAAGTAACTGCTGTCTGACTTTACAGGCTAGAGGAGCAGGATTGGGAACACAATGTCGAGGTGGATTGAAGACCAGAGCCCTAGGAAAGATTCCAAGGCTCTGGAGTATCTCTAAGGACGTGAAGGCCCTACCAAAACAAAATTCAAGGTAGGGTCTTGGAACCACGTTGCCTGGCTCAGAGGAATAAAGAATTGGGATAGCTCTAGTTTGCTAGGCCTACTGTAACACAGAATCATAAACCAAGCGGCTTAAACAATGGAAATCTACTGTCTCACGGATCTGGAGGCTAGAAGCCAGACACAGAGGTCTCTGCAGGTCTAGGCTCCCTCTGAAGGGAGTAGGGAAGGATCTGTTCCAGGTCTCTCTCCCAGCTTTGGTAGTTCCTTGGCTTGTGGCAGCATAACTCCAGTCTTCACAAGGCGTTCTCCCTGAATGCACACCTCTGTGTCCAAATTTCCCCTTTTTACTTATATACATACACATATGTGTGTGTGTATCTTCCCTTGAAGAGCCTTTAGAAACCCATATATTATATATGTAATATATAATATATAATATATAATAATATAAATGTATATATAAATGTATATTATATATGTAATATATTATATATATTTTATATATGTAATATATAATATATATATTTATATATTACTCATCCCTCTGAGGTTCCACCCACCCCAGGGAGTATGCTGAGCACAAGTCCTCATCTTTTGGGAGCCCCAGACCCCCATCCTTTCAGTTGGAGACTCCCACACCCCACCCAGAGTCTGCAGCTTCATTCTCTACCCTTACAGACCTTCCTCTCTCCTCCACCCCTCTGAGATGATGGAGCAAAATCTTCCCTTGAAGAGCCTTTAGAAACCCATATTATATATGTAATATATATTATATGTAATATATGACATATTATATATAATATATAACATATATAATATAGATATATTTTTTAGATGTAATCTTGCTCTGACACCCAGGCTGGAGTGCACTGGCACGATCCCTGCTCACTGCAACCTCCGCTTCCTGGGTTCAAGCAATTCTCCTGCCTCAGCCTCCCGAGTAGCTGGGATTACAGGCGTGCACCACCACACCAGCTAATTTTTAGTAGAGATGGGGTTTCACCATGTTGGCCAGGCTGGTCTCGAACTCCTGACCTCAGGTGATCCACCTGCCTCGGTCTCCCAAAGTACTGGGATTACAGGTGTGAGCCACTGCCCCTGGCCAATTTCCCCTTTTCATAGGAACACCAGTCATAATGGATGAGGAGTTCACCCTTATCTTAACATCTGCAAGAATGTTATTGCCAAATAAGGGCACACTCTCATGTACCAGGGGTTAGGACTTCAATGTATAAATTTTGGGGGATACAATTCAACCCCCAACAGCTGGGCCTCCCATTCTGGGTTTTGGGGCACACTTCACATGCTCTGCCTGGGCACAGCTGATTCCCACCCTAGGAATTCCCACCTTGGGACTCACCCTGTGAGACCTAGGAGGACAGCACATCTCTTTCAGTTAAAACTTTTGTTTGTGGTTTGGAGAGTCACCTTCAATACATGGATAATGATGCCCAAACCGGTCGGCAGCCTGCTTTCCAGCTGTGATTATGGCAGGTAAGGAGCCTCCCTGAGTCTCCACTGTCCTCTGCCGACCAAATGAGAATCATAACAGCTCCTCTTATTATTATGCCTGAGACAAGGCAGTCAGTCTGAAGAGGGCCTACCTAGCTAGCACAGGGCTGTGAGCACACACAAGCCAATGTGGGCGTCCAACAGATCCTAGCTCCCTTCCCCTTGGAAGGCTATGCACACAGAAAATCTTTCCTTGGGTTGAGCTGAGGTCTAGATGAGGCCAGGGGTCAGACAGGGTAAAGTACCAAGGTCACAGGGCTGTATGGGCATGGCACTGTGTAGAAGTCCAGTTTCATTGATCTCAGGATAGGGGCCGATTGGGGTCCAGAAGCTCCTTCGAAAGACCTTTTGCCCTTGGAAAATGAGATGTGACCTCAGGAATGGGGGGAGAAGGGAGAGGAAATGTGGAAACGAAGCCATAAAATCTTAGAGGTGGAGAGAACTTTGGAACACCCCTGTTGCAGGCCCTTCTTGCTACAGTTGGGGAAGCTGAGGCTGGAGGAGGGGGAGGTACTGTGTCAAGGTCAAACGTTGGGTGGTGCCGGGCGACAGAAGCCAGGACTTTGAGGGGCAAGGCTGTAGTGGAACTGAAAGGGGAGGTGGTGGGTGCCTCCAGGGGTCTGTGAGCTCCTTTCCCAAGACTGGGGGGGCCTGTGTCTGCGGAGGGGGGTGGCTTCCTGGGCTCTGGAGGGGAGGGGAGGTTAAAAGCAGGGTGGGGGAGCGAATCTGGGGGATTGTGGGAATTTCGGGCGGCGCCCCCGCCCCCAGCCATGCGTGGGGCGCCTGGAGAAGGGGCGCGCGGGCAGGTGGGGTGCTGCGGGGCCCGCGCGTGGGGGCCGCGCCGGCCGGGGCGGGGTGAGTCACCGCCCGCCCGCTCCCATTGTGCGGCCCAGCGGCGGCGGTGGAGGTGCGGAGTGGAGCGCGAGGAGGTGGAGCCGCGGGCTGCGGGCTCCGGCGCCTGCGTCCGCCCGGCCAGCCCGGCTCTGCGTTGCGAGGGGCCGGACGCGAGTCGCGGCTGCGCTCCAGAGCGAGCGCGGGGGACATGGGGCGCGGCGGGCCGCCTGGGCCTCGCAGGCTCCGGAGCCCCGAGGTACCGCGGGGCGGAGCGCGCCGGGCAGGGCGGGGGACCCGGGCTGTCCCGGGCGTGGCTGGGCCTCGGAGGGGCGCTTGGGCCGGGAGCGTGGATCCGGCTCCCGGGTGGGGGGCGCCAACGCAAGGAACCTGACCCCGCCCTCCTCCCCCAGGGCTCCCCGCTAGGCCCCCTCAGTGGCCCCTCCTTCTCACCCGGGTCTCGGGTCCCTTAGTGAGTGAGAGCATCCCCAGCCGCCTACCCGGCCATGGCCAACGGAGTGATCCCGCCGCCCGGGGGCGCCTCCCCCCTACCCCAGGTGACTGGCGTGCGCGGGGGCGGGGGAGAGATGGGGGAGGAGAGGGGAGGGGCCTTAGGGTGGGCTGAGGCGTCCTCTGGCAGACCCAGGGACCCACCCCACCCCCAGATCCAGGGATGAGCTGGGCTGGGGGTTATGAAGAAAGAGGGGGGCTTTTGGTATTTTCCGGATCGGTAGCCCTCTCTCTTTACAAGCTCTGGGAGCCCAGAGAGGGTGGTTTCTGGGATGCTGACACAGGTCTGGGAGCAAGGGGAGGGGGCCCGATGGTGCGAGAGCCTGCTGAGGTCCCCCAACTAGGGCTTGGAGTTGGGGTGGGTGTGGGGCCTTCATGGGTCAGGGGTCCTTAGCAGAGGCTGTCTGGGCCTGCAGGTTCGGGTGCCCTTGGAGGAGCCCCCTCTAAGTCCAGACGTGGAGGAGGAGGACGATGACTTGGGGAAGACCTTGGCTGTGAGCAGGTTTGGGGACCTCATCAGCAAGCCCCCGGCCTGGGACCCTGAGAAGCCCAGCCGCAGCTACAGCGAGCGGGACTTTGAGTGTGGGTAGCCTGGGGACCCCTAGTGCGGCCGCCCTCGCCACCATCACCTTCATCGCCACCATCACCGCGCTCACCTCCGGCTTGGTCACCCAGTGCCATCCTGTGCCGGACACTGTGCTGGACTCTGTGCTGGGCCACATGCCGTGTTCAGTCATCCTGCCTCCCCCACCCATCGCCTATCCGCCTGCCAGGGGAGGTGGGCCCCAGACCAGGGGAGATCTAGGGAGTCGGGCCTGGGCCCTTCCACGGTGACCTTCCTCTTCCCCTTCAGCCCCACTCACTCCCTCCTTGTCCCACCTCGACTCCTCCAACTCCGCCTTTCCCCTCCTTGCTGTATCACGTCTCCCCTCCCAGCCCCCTTCATGACCTTCCCTGTCCATCCGCCCTCTCCTCCCACTCCACCAGACCTCATCAATGACAGGCACGTGGACACAGGTGTTGGGGGGTCATGGCCCTGGAGGAAGGACTAGGGTTCCCCTGTTTACGGCCTTGAGCTGGAAGGTGTGTGCCCTCGGGTGGGGAGGGCCCCCGTTTCTGCTGTGGGGGCCTCAACTGGATCTCCTGCACCCCCAGTTCACCGCCACACATCCCACCACACCCACCACCCGCTCTCAGCGCGCCTGCCTCCACCCCACAAGCTGCGGCGGCTGCCCCCCACCTCTGCCCGGCACACCAGGAGAAAGAGGAAGAAGGAGAGAACCTCTGCTCCCCCCTCTGAGGGGACCCCTCCCATCCAGGAGGAGGGGGGAGCTGGAGTGGATGAGGAAGAGGAGGAAGAGGAGGAAGAGGAAGGAGAATCTGAGGCAGAACCTGTGGAGCCCCCACCCTCAGGGACCCCACAGAAGGCAAAGGTAGGGGCTTCCCTTTGGAGGGGTGGCAGGTCAGGGGTGCAGAGAGGAGGGGAGGAGCCCATGTTGGGGCTTGTGTGAGGCTGGGTAGGGTTGGGGGCTGCATGGTGGGTTGGGGCAGGGCCCCAGGGCACATTCTGTGTCTGCAGTTCTCCATTGGAAGTGACGAGGATGACAGTCCAGGCCTCCCTGGGAGGGCTGCTGTCACTAAGCCCCTGCCCTCGGTGGGCCCACGCACTGACAAGAGCCCCCAGCACTCCAGCAGGTACTGGCTGCAGCCTCTACTCAGCAGGGCCCAGCCCAGAGCCGCAGGGTCCCGAGCTCCTGGCAGTCACCTCCTTCCTGACCCTGGGGAGTGTCCCCAGCTCTGACCCTGAGAGAAGAGAAGCGGGGTATGGGAGGGGGTTGGGGATCCTTCTCTGTCCTCGTGATTTACAAGGATGAGAGAACAAGGGGAGAGAAAAAAAGAAGAGCAGAGTGAAGAGGTTAGGAGTTCCCCGGGAGAGAGTGACAGAGTAGAGAGGATGAGGAGAAAGGTGGAGGAAAGGGGGAGCCATGGGATGGGAAGGGGGGCCCGGGTTAGCATCCTTTCTGCCCAGGAGGGGCCTGGGTCTCATGCTCAGGGTCTACTCCAGGCCCTGCTCTGAGCTGAGGGACGGTGACGGAACCACCGACCTGGCCCTGTCAAGTCCAAGGCTGCTGTGTTGCCTCCCCAGCTCCCCCAGCCCCCGGGCCCGGGCCTCCCGAATCGCTGGGGAGAAAAGCCGGCCCTGGAGCCCATCGGCCAGTTATGACCTGCGGGAGCGACTGTGCCCAGGCAGTGCCCTGGGCAACCCGGGTGGTCCAGAGCAGCAGGTGCCCACTGATGAGGCGGAGGCCCAGATGCTGGGTTCTGCAGACCTGGACGACATGAAGAGTGAGTGAGACCTTGTGGCAGCCCCCATGGTCCACTGCGACGGACTCCCGGCCTCCGAGTGACCTTGGAGAGGCTCTGAGCTGTCCTCCACTCAGGGCTGAGTCCTCTCTGAATCCCTGTCTGCTGGGATGTGGCCAGTGATGGGGAGCTCACTACCTCACCCAGCCACCCTCTCTGATGGCCAGAGCTGAGATTTCCTTTCCTGACACTTCACACCTCAGTCCTGATTCTGTCCTCTGAGTCACCCCTAGAAAAAGGCAGCTCTCTTTTTGACATCATTGTATCCCTCCCCAAGGCCCCTCTTCTCAGGGTGAACTCTTTGTCTCCTAGCTCTTTGATCCCCTCCAAACCCAGGCCCTGAGTCTGAGCCATTGCTCTGGACCCCTGCCTCTCCCTGTGGCAGGACCCCTCACTCCCATCCCACTACCCTTGGCTGGGCCTGGCTGTGATCTCGGCACATTCCTTCCATCTTATCAGTGCCCTGGTTTCTGTGCCACCTGTCATCACCCATGGGGCTCTGTGCCCAGGCCAGGGGCATCACTGATCCCTCCTCCTCCTCAGAGCCACAGTGTGTGGGCGGGGTGGGGGGAAGGGTAGGGCTTTAAGCTCAATACGTCATGGAAAGTTGCCAGGGCCTGAGGACAGGGACGGGAACAATCCGATGGCAGCAGTAGCAGCGGGATGGGGCGGGGGAAGGGCGTGTTTACAGACCCAGGGTGGGGGCTGGATGCCGCCAGGAGTAGGCTTGTGGACGTGGGGAGTTGGGGTCGGGAGGCTGTGCCACCTTCAGCTCTGGTTGGACAGAAGCCACGCCGTCCAGGCTGCCACCTTGTAGGAGAGCCAAGGGGTCTGGCAGGGAGCGGGGGCCGAGGTTTTGGCCACCAAGAGAATGACAAGCCCACTGGAGGAGGACCCTGAGCCCAATGGGGCACTGAGCCCTGGGTCTGGGTACTCCAATAGCCAGGGCTTTGGGAGGGATCCAGCCCCCAGTCCTCGAGACTCACTGGCCTCAGAAGACTTAGAGATGTTTGTGCTGGACTTTGAGGATGGTGGCCTGTGGGAGTCCGTCAGGGGCCAGCTGGGCCCCATGGCACGGCCACCAACTTGTGAGTAACGGGGCTGCTGGCCTTTCCCTGACTGCTGCTGGCCTGGGGAGGGCAGGCAGGAGGAAGGGAGCGACGCCCTGCCTGAGTCTGCTGGGCTGTGTACCTTCGGGGAGGGGACATGGGTGTTGAGAGAGAGAGAGGGTGCATGGGAAGTGTTGGGGGCTCAGTGCCCCGGGACTCTGACTCAGTGCCAGTCATGGGACCCAGACAGAGAGGGAGGGGCAGTGGCCATGGCAGGGGCTGGAGGGTCTGGCTGGGGCTGTGGACTGAGCTGGGTCTACCTTTGGATTGCACCTTGGCTGGTGGTCCCAGGTGACCATGGAAAGGTCTTCCCTCTTTCTGAGCTTCAGTCTTCTTATCAATGAAATGGCCACATGGGATTATCTGGTTCCCTTCGGCATGGCCTGTAGGTGACTATAGCGAGAGCCTCAGCTAACAAGTATGATGCGGTTGGGCAAAGGACTTCGCCGCCTGCGCCGCGCCCGCAGCCTCGCGCTCGCGCGGCGACCCACCGCCACTTCTCTCGCGCGCGCGCCTCACGCCTGGCACGCACCACCTCGCTGCTCGCGCGCGCCTCTCGCGACACCACAGCCCGCCGCACACGCGCGCGAGCGCTCCGCGCCAGTCCCACTGCGCCTGGCCTCCATCCTTCCGCGGGGCACGCGCAGCAACACACAAACGCGCCTCGCCCGCACGCCTCTCGCGTCCCAATGCCCGAGTGGCCTTCGCCCTGTGGCTTCCTCATGCCCCTCGGCCTGGAGCCCTCCTCTCTTGCCTAGCCTCTGCCCCGTTGCGCGTGTTCCCCCACCTACTTGGTCCGGCGCGCCTCACCTGTGGCCGTCCCAGGTGTTCGTGAGCTGAACGAGCCTGCATGCTGGACCGCAAGCCAGGAGCCCCACTCGGCGGCGAGACGGCGCCTGGATCAAGTTTGAAGGAGGAGTGGCGGAGGCGAGACAGAGCCGCTGGGGGAAGCCACGTTGCCCTCGCCGTCTCCCTTCCGTAGCCTTCTGGAGCTCAGGAGGACCATCCGCCCATGGTAGGGACTCCCAGGCCTGACCCTGAGGCTGCATGCCCTCTTCAGTCTATGCCAGGCTGCTCAGCTCCCAGGGACACTCCCTGGAGTCCTGGGCACAGCACGATCCCGCTGCACCTGGGACTATGGGGTCCATTTGCTTGGGCAGCCCGTGAGCCCCGAGGGGCAGGGCTGTATCTGGTGCAAGTAGTCAGTCAACAAATGGTTTTCCCTTCCTTGTGGGAGGGCCGTGCCCTCGTTCGCCATGCGCATTCTTCACAGCCGTCCTGTGGCTGGCTGGTGGCAATATGGGAGCCTGTGTATCCCCCCTGGTACCATTGGCGCTTCTTGCCCTTCCAGCACATTCCCATGCTTTTGGGGGCAGGCAGAAGTGGGAGGAGATTTCTCCTGTTCCCCCTGGAAAAAAAATTGGGACTGTCGTGCCTCTCTGTGCCCTGACTTTCCCCTACGGAGCTGCCTCCTCCTGGACTTGCGCGCAACACACCCTGCCAGGCATTGCCAAACCTCGTGGTGAAGACCATGATTGTGTCTGAACCAGATCCGGCCGGAGGACAGGGCCAGTGTCCTTCGTACCCACCTGCTACTGAAACACGAGTGCGGGGTTGGCGTGCGCCTGGGGAGGGCTGTCAGCTCCACTGCCGTTCCCAGGAGCCAGCTCTTCTGAGTGGCTCCCAGCCTCTGCTTGAATACCACAAGTGACAGAGAGCTCATTTCTATCTTTTGACACTTTCAATCATTAGAAAGTTTCTTCTTACACTGAGGCAGAGGGATGGAGGCCCTGACCCTCCACTACTCACCTCATGACCTCAGTCTACCATGAGCCTCTCCTCCTCACCTGCCTCACCCTGCCCCTTCCAGCCATCCCAACGATGACAAGGACAGTGGCTTCTTTCCCCGAAACCCATCGAGCTCCAGCATGAACTCGGTTCTGGGGAATCATCACCCAACCCCCAGCCATGGTCCTGATGGGGCAGTGCCTACCATGGCTGATGACCTGGGGGAGCCAGCCCCACTCTGGCCACATGACCCTGACGCCAAGGAGGTCAGTGCCCTTGCTCTAGCTTGGGCCAGGGGACTGAGAGGGTGTCCAGTTTCAGTTGAGGTCATCAATGACTTCACTGAGCGGGTTGGGAAGGTTGGGTTACTGGCATCATGCTGGGCATTGGGGGACCTAGTGGAGACCCGTATGAGGGGTCCCTGCCCTGAGACGCAGGAGCTTTGAGTGTGATGATGTGGCAGACCCACAGGAGCTGTTTAAACAAGATAAGGCTGAGGTGGTAGTAGGGGGCGTCGAGGTAGGGTTCACATCCCAGCTGGTGGCTCCCAGTGTGGGGCCACAGTGCAGTACCTGCCCACTCTGGGAGAGAGAAGCAGGTCTCAGAGCCAGGGCTGGAGCCAGGGCTGGGAGGGCCTGCCACGGCCTCCGGTCTGGGTCCCAGCCCTATTCCAGTTCTGCGTCCTCAGAAGCCCCTCCACATGCCTGGGGGAGATGGTCACCGGGGGAAAAGCCTGAAGCTGCTGGAGAAGATCCCTGAAGATGCTGAGGCCACCGTTGTGCTTGTGGGTGAGGAGGGCCGGGTGCTGCGGGCAGGGTCTGCAGCGTGTGTGTGCCTCTCCTGGGGGCCTGCTTGTCTGAGCTCTGGCCTGGAGGCCGCCTCTTCCATCTCCCTCCAGGCTCCCACCTGGCCCCTGCTCTTCCTCACAACCTGTCTTATCCCAGCCCTTTCATAGTCCCCTGTCTGCTTCCTGTCCAGTTTTCTGCTATCTTGGACTTGGAATTAGAAAAAAAAGCAACCCTTCTTTAATACCCTGAGTTTCCATCTGTTGGTGAATTGTAATCAATGTATAGACACACAAGTGAATAGTGCCCCTTTAGACTGGGGTTTCTTTGTGCAGTTTACAACCTGCTCAACTGTCCATGATAGCCCTAGATAGCTGCCCCAGGGCCTGCCTTGACTGCTCCCCTTTGCCCAGCGCCCTGTGCTTTCCTCTTCCCCTAGGTTGTGTGCCTTTCTTGGAGCAGCCTGCAGCAGCCTTTGTGCGGCTGAATGAGGCTGTACTCCTGGAGTCTGTGCTTGAGGTCCCTGTCCCGGTCCGCTTCCTCTTCGTGATGCTGGGGCCCAGCCACACCAGCACTGACTATCACGAGCTTGGGCGCTCCATTGCCACCCTTATGTCTGACAAGGTTGGGTGCATGCTGGCTCTCAAGGCCTCTTCTCCTAGGCCCTGCTTACCCCTGTCCCTCTCATTGTCTACAGTGGTATCCATAGAGGCAAGGGTGCTAGAGGCCCCTGGGTGGAGGCCATGCCCTGGAGAGTGGTGGGGGGAGCTGTTGGCCCAGGGGAGAAGAGAGAGCCCTGAGCTGTGGCTGTGGGAGGGGCTGGTGACATACGGGGAAAAGCCCAGACCCCAGAGCTTTGGATGTGACGTGAGACTTGATCAGGAGGGCTGGATGCGCTGGTCTTTGCTGTGGCTTCTCCTGGGATTAGATAGGAGGGTCCTTTAGCCAGGGGCAATGTTCACAATATTTATCAGCCTGTAAGGTGTGGCTGATCCAGTTGGAATGGCTCTGGAAGCGTCTCCTCTGCCAGGCATTGTCCCTTTAGTTGCTGCATGTGGAAGTCTGGCATCTCCTGGGGGAATGGAGGGCACCTGGGGCTTTGGGGCAGTGGCTTGCTGGCCTGCTGGGATGGGTGTCAGTGTTCCAACAGCCAACACTGTTGGACTGGCCCAGTATCTATGGCGGAATGTCCACCCTGCCTGTAGCTCAGTGACCCAACACCTGCCTGAAGTCTCCCTCCTGGAGGCTCCCTTGGCCGTCCCTGAGGGTCCTGGCCTTCTCATTGCCCCCAGCTGTTTCATGAGGCTGCCTACCAGGCAGACGACCGGCAAGACCTCCTGAGCGCCATCAGCGAGTTCCTGGATGGCAGCATTGTGATCCCCCCGTCCGAGGTGGAGGGCCGCGACCTGCTACGCTCCGTGGCTGCCTTCCAGCGAGAGCTGCTTAGGAAGCGGCGGGAGCGTGAACAGACCAAAGTTGAGATGACCACACGGGGTGGCTACACGGCCCCTGGGAAAGGTCAGACCCTTGAGGGGAGCTGAGTGCCCCCAATACACACTCCCCCATCCCAGGGCCCTAAGGCTGTGACCCCAGCCCCGTCCTGACTCCTGGAGTCCTTTGCATCCCTGATCCTGACAGCCTGGGGCCTCCAAGCCAGAGGGAGTGGTCTGTGCCCCAGCAGCCCCTTGTCCCCCCAGAACTGTCTTTGGAGTTGGGGGGCTCCGAGGCGACCCCTGAAGATGACCCCTTGCTGCGGACGGGCTCGGTATTTGGGGGGCTCGTGCGGGATGTGAGGCGCCGGTACCCGCACTACCCCAGTGACCTGCGAGATGCGCTGCACTCCCAGTGTGTGGCCGCTGTGCTCTTCATCTACTTCGCAGCCCTCAGCCCTGCTATCACCTTCGGGGGGCTGCTGGGTAAGGGACTGGGGCTTAGGGAATTGAGGGGCTCCTCTAGTCACTATTGGTCCTAGTCTCACTTGCAGGATTCTGGGTCTGGGTGTGATTGCATTAGGGGCCAATGGTTAGATGTGCTAGCAAAGGTGTGAGCACCTTATAGAGATACTGGGTCAGGGAATCCCAGAGATCACCTTTGGGGGGCTATAAAGTGAGAGGGTGTGGGAGAGATGTAAGGGATGGGGGATCCAGTGATCACTACTGGGGGCTAGTGGGGAGGGTCTGGGAGCAATGGGGTATGGAATGGACCCTGCCTGTCGTTCTAAGGGGCTGCTCTGCTTTTGTTGGGGGCCCCAGTTTAGGACAAGTTAGATGAGGAAGGGGGCAGATAGACAGAGCCAGGCTAGGGCCATCCTGCCCGTGCTGCCGCAGGAGAGAAGACCGAGGGACTGATGGGTGTGTCTGAGCTGATCGTGTCCACCGCTGTGCTCGGCGTCCTCTTCTCTCTGCTGGGGGCTCAGCCCCTGCTCGTGGTTGGCTTCTCTGGGCCGCTGCTTGTGTTTGAGGAAGCCTTCTTCAAGGTGAGGTGAAGCCTTGTCCTGCTCCATCCATCCTGCCCCACACTCTTCCTTACCTACATCCTGCCCCACACTCTTCCTTTCCTACATCCTGCCCCACACTCTTCCTTACCTAGGGGATGGGTCCCTGCATTCTCCCTCTTCCTCGGAGTTCATCCACTGCCTATTCCAGGGGGCACTGACACCCAGGGCAGGCCACCTGTGGGTAATGACCGCTTCCACCCCCACCTAGTTCTGCCGAGCCCAGGACCTGGAGTACCTCACTGGCCGGGTGTGGGTTGGCCTCTGGCTGGTGGTCTTCGTCCTTGCCCTAGTGGCCGCTGAAGGCAGCTTCCTGGTCCGCTACATCTCGCCTTTCACCCAGGAGATCTTTGCCTTCCTCATCTCACTCATTTTCATCTACGAGACCTTCTACAAGCTCTACAAGGTGGAGGTCCAGAGAGGTCTTAGGGGTGGCAGAGATGGGGGTGGACGTTGCCCTGGGGAGGACAGCATGGGAGGGGGAGGTACAGAAAACTGAGGGACAAGGAGAGGGACTGTGTTGGAAGTGAGGGGTTGTAGGGACATCCTAGGCTAGGTCTGAACTGAAGGGGAGGGAATCAGACCCAGAGGGTGGGTGCCAGGTCACGACTCCAGGCACCTGGTTGGAGGCTTAGTAGTAAGTAATAAGGACTCACCTGCACAGGTGTGTGATGGGGAGGGAGCTGTCAGTGCTAAGGGGCTGGTTGTCCTTAGGTCATCTTTTGTAGAGGAGTGTGTGTGTGTGTGTGTGTGTGTGTGTGTGGTGTGAGTATGGTGTGTTGTGTGTTGTGTTTTGTGTGGTATGTGGTATGTGTGTGTGGTGTGTGTGTTGTGTGTGGTGTGTGTGTGCATGTGTGTGAGCGTCTGATGGGTGTTTCTGAGCTGATCGTGTCCACCGCTGTGCTCGGCGTCCTCTTCTCTCTGCTGGGGGCTCAGCCCCTGCTCGTGGTTGGCTTCTCTGGACCGCTGCTTGTGTTTGAGGAAGCCTTCTTCAAGGTGAGGTGAAGCCTTGTCCGTTCCAACAGCCAACACTGTTGGACTGGCCCAGTATCTATGGCGGAATGTCCACCCTGCCTGTAGCTCAGTGACCCAACACCTGCCTGAAGTCTCCCTCCTGGAGGCTCCCTTGGCCGTCCCTGAGGGTCCTGGCCTTCTCATTGCCCCCAGCTGTTTCATGAGGCTGCCTACCAGGCAGACGACCGGCAAGACCTCCTGAGCGCCATCAGCGAGTTCCTGGATGGCAGCATTGTGATCCCCCCGTCCGAGGTGGAGGGCCGCGACCTGCTACGCTCCGTGGCTGCCTTCCAGCGAGAGCTGCTTAGGAAGCGGCGGGAGCGTGAACAGACCAAAGTTGAGATGACCACACGGGGTGGCTACACGGCCCCTGGGAAAGGTCAGACCCTTGAGGGGAGCTGAGTGCCCCCAATACACACTCCCCCATCCCAGGGCCCTAAGGCTGTGACCCCAGCCCCGTCCTGACTCCTGGAGTCCTTTGCATCCCTGATCCTGACAGCCTGGGGCCTCCAAGCCAGAGGGAGTGGTCTGTGCCCCAGCAGCCCCTTGTCCCCCCAGAACTGTCTTTGGAGTTGGGGGGCTCCGAGGCGACCCCTGAAGATGACCCCTTGCTGCGGACGGGCTCGGTATTTGGGGGGCTCGTGCGGGATGTGAGGCGCCGGTACCCGCACTACCCCAGTGACCTGCGAGATGCGCTGCACTCCCAGTGTGTGGCCGCTGTGCTCTTCATCTACTTCGCAGCCCTCAGCCCTGCTATCACCTTCGGGGGGCTGCTGGGTAAGGGACTGGGGCTTAGGGAATTGAGGGGCTCCTCTAGTCACTATTGGTCCTAGTCTCACTTGCAGGATTCTGGGTCTGGGTGTGATTGCATTAGGGGCCAATGGTTAGATGTGCTAGCAAAGGTGTGAGCACCTTATAGAGATACTGGGTCAGGGAATCCCAGAGATCACCTTTGGGGGGCTATAAAGTGAGAGGGTGTGGGAGAGGTGTAAGGGATGGGGGATCCAGTGATCACCACTGGGGGCTAGTGGGGAGGGTCTGGGAGCAATGGGGTATGGAATGGACCCTGCCTGTCGTTCTAAGGAGCTGCTCTGCTTTTGTTGGGGGCCCCAGTTTAGGACAAGTTAGATGAGGAAGGGGGCAGATAGACAGAGCCAGGCTAGGGCCATCCTGCCCGTGCTGCCGCAGGAGAGAAGACCGAGGGACTGATGGGTGTGTCTGAGCTGATCGTGTCCACCGCTGTGCTCGGCGTCCTCTTCTCTCTGCTGGGGGCTCAGCCCCTGCTCGTGGTTGGCTTCTCTGGGCCGCTGCTTGTGTTTGAGGAAGCCTTCTTCAAGGTGAGGTGAAGCCTTGTCCTGCTCCATCCATCCTGCCCCACACTCTTCCTTACCTACATCCTGCCCCACACTCTTCCTTTCCTACATCCTGCCCCACACTCTTCCTTACCTACATCCTGCCCCACACTCTTCCTTACCTAGGGGATGGGTCCCTGCATTCTCCCTCTTCCTCGGAGTTCATCCACTGCCTATTCCAGGGGGCACTGACACCCAGGGCAGGCCACCTGTGGGTAATGACCGCTTCCACCCCCACCTAGTTCTGCCGAGCCCAGGACCTGGAGTACCTCACTGGCCGGGTGTGGGTTGGCCTCTGGCTGGTGGTCTTCGTCCTTGCCCTAGTGGCCGCTGAAGGCAGCTTCCTGGTCCGCTACATCTCGCCTTTCACCCAGGAGATCTTTGCCTTCCTCATCTCACTCATTTTCATCTACGAGACCTTCTACAAGCTCTACAAGGTGGAGGTCCAGAGAGGTCTTAGGGGTGGCAGAGATGGGGGTGGACGTTGCCCTGGGGAGGACAGCATGGGAGGGGGAGGTACAGAAAACTGAGGGACAAGGAGAGGGACTGTGTTGGAAGTGAGGGGTTGTAGGGACATCCTAGGCTAGGTCTGAACTGAAGGGGAGGGAATCAGACCCAGAGGGTGGGTGCCAGGTCACGACTCCAGGCACCTGGTTGGAGGCTTAGTAGTAAGTAATAAGGACTCACCTGCACAGGTGTGTGATGGGGAGGGAGCTGTCAGTGCTAAGGGGCTGGTTGTCCTTAGGTCATCTTTTGTAGAGGGTGTGTGTGTGTGTGTGTGGTGTGAGTATGGTGTGTTGTGTGTGTGTTGTGTTTGTGTGGTGTGTGGTATGTTGTGTGTGTGGTGTGTGTGTTGTGTGTGGTGTGTGTGTGCATGTGTGTGTGCATGTGTGTGCATGTTGTGTGTGTTTGTGTGTGTGTAGTGCTTGTGTGTGCATGTTGTGTGTGTTTGTGTGTGTGTAGTGCGTGTGGTGTGGATGTGGTATGTTGTGTTTTTTGTGTGTGTTATGTGTGTGTTGTGTTATGTGTCGTGTGTGTTGTATGTGTGTTATGTGTGTTGTGTGTGTGTGTGTGTGTGGTGTGAGTATGGTGTGTTGTGTGTGTGTTGTGTTTGTGTGGTGTGTGGTATGTTGTGTGTGTGGTGTGTGTGTTGTGTGTGGTGTGTGTGTGCATGTGTGTGTGCCTGTGTGTGCATGTTGTGTGTGTGTTTGTGTGTGTATATTGTGTGTGTGGTGTGGATGTGGTATGTTGTGTTTTTTGTGTGTGTTATGTGTGTGTTGTTATGTGTTGTGTGTGTTGTATGTGTGGTATGTGTGTGTTATGTGTGTGTGTGTGGTGCAGCTGGATGTCCGTGCATTACTGTTGTCTGACCAGGTATTGAGGGGACACCCTCTCTCTCACAGGTATGCTGATGACAATGAAATCAGGTCACCTGCCAGGTGAGTGACAAGGTGTCCTTGTTATCCACACATAGGTGTTCACAGAGCACCCACTGCTGCCATTCTACCCCCCTGAGGGGGCCCTGGAGGGGTCCCTGGATGCTGGTCTGGAGCCGAATGGCAGTGCCCTGCCCCCCACCGAGGGCCCACCCAGCCCGAGGAACCAGCCCAATACGGCACTGCTGTCACTCATCCTCATGCTCGGGACCTTCTTCATCGCCTTCTTCCTGCGCAAGTTCAGGAACAGCCGCTTCCTGGGGGGCAAGGTGCATGGCTGCTGGGTGTGGAGTCCCCAAGAGTCCCACAATTCCTGCTTTTACTGCCAGGCTCAGCTCCCCAGAGAGGCTGCACCCCTTCCCCGATCAGCCTGTGGACCAAAACCCAGCCCAGGCAGCCCCTACCCCTTCGGAAGCCTCTTCCCTGGGTGTCGTCTTGCCCTTTGCTCAGAGAAGTCTAATCAAGACAATAGCCTCCCAGGCTGCGCTGGCACCTATGGGGTTGAGAGACAGGTGGGAAGTCTTCTGGCTCCAGCGTGGACCCAGGCAGGGCCAGAGATGGCAAGCCCTGTGTTAGTCTGCTGACCTTGCCTCCACCTTTTGCTCCCTTCCCCGACCGGCCCCTCTCAAGGCTCGCCGCATCATCGGGGACTTTGGCATCCCTATCTCCATCCTGGTGATGGTCCTGGTGGATTACTCCATCACAGACACCTACACGCAGGTGAGGGAGCCCCAGCCTGTGGCAGCTGCTGTCACCCCAAGGCCAGGAAAGGGAGCCAACGACACACCTTCATGGGCCCTGGGGTTGGGATCAGGCCTGAACTCAGCTTTCCCAGTGGAGTGGCTGCCCTGTGGGATGGGGCTGGGGCTTCTGGCTGAGGGCCTTCCCCAGGGAGCCTGAGTGAAGAATCCAGGAGAAGCAGGTGTAGGGCTGGGAGCAGAGTGACAGGTATCCCACACAGGTCCCCTGAAGCTCTGGGGCGTAGGGAGGAGGCGCTTCACTTGCCTGCCCTCTATTGGATCTTTGGAAGGACAGTGAGTTTTGGAGGATGCAAAACTAATTTCCCCCTAACCTGTTCACACCCCAACTCCCTGAAGTCCTGGTACTGGGGACGCAGCCTGATGGGCTTCCCAGCATGGGGAGGCTGTGGCCCTGAACCCTGTTTTCCTGCCATGTAGAAGCTGACTGTGCCCACAGGGCTCTCAGTGACCTCTCCTGATAAGCGCTCATGGTTCATCCCACCCCTGGGCAGTGCCCGTCCTTTCCCGCCCTGGATGATGGTGGCAGCCGCTGTCCCCGCCCTCCTCGTCCTCATCCTGATCTTCATGGAGACACAGATCACGGCGTGAGAGAGATGGGAGGAGGAGGTGGGAGGGACGAGGCCAGGCTCCTTGGCTCCTTGGCTTGGTTTCAGGGTTATGGCGGGGACATCATTATCAGTATCAGGGTGCCGGGAGGGTGGGAGCTTGTGGCAAGCCTTGAGGAAGAGAGTGTATGTGGAGAAGCTGGCAGGGGTGAGGAGGAGGTGGGGGAGGAGCAGAGAGCAGTGGCATCCGGGGCAGGGGCATGGTTTCCCCGTGATGGTTTGATGTGACATCTATCTGTTGCCACCACTCTTTGCAGGGTGGCACTTGACAGTGCTCAGAACACTCTAGCAGTCTAAGCTTGCACCCAGGGATGCTCACATGTATCTAATTTTGGTTAAACCACAATAACGTGGTAAGATCTGGCATCTGGCTTTTGTGGTGTTTTAAATATTCACAGTGTGAGAATTTGGCTCACATTTGCTTCAATGTGAGAACTTCAATTTGGGAACTTGAAAGAAGCAGCTGGCAGTCCTGGGGAGAACTGTAGTCTGCACGTCCTCCCCCTACCATCTCGTCTCTGTGTATGCCTGTCTCTGTCCCCTGCCCCTGCCGGGCCAGCCACACCCCCCTTCCCACCTTCTCCCTGCAGGCTTATTGTCAGCCAGAAGGCTCGGAGGCTGCTCAAGGGCTCTGGTTTCCACCTGGACCTGCTCCTCATTGGCTCCCTTGGGGGGCTTTGTGGGCTGTTTGGGTTGCCCTGGCTCACAGCTGCCACGGTCCGCTCTGTCACCCACGTCAATGCGTTGACAGTGATGCGTACTGCCATCGCGCCTGGTGACAAGCCCCAGATCCAGGAGGTGCGGGAGCAGCGGGTCACTGGTGTGCTCATCGCCAGCCTCGTGGGTGAGAGCCTGCCTCCACCCTGCACACCCCCTTCCTTGGGCCCCATGGCCTTACATCCTCTCTATCCCAGGCTTGACTCTGAATCGCCCAGTGTGCTGTGTGTTGCCCTTGATCTGACTCCCAAACCTGCTTCCCAACACCCCCCTAGCCGCTTCCTCCCGGAGTCCTTTCCTGGCTCTCTGTCCTGCCCCCTCTTCCCTTGTTCATGGTGATAAAGCCAAGCTGATTGGTCCAGTGGGTCCATGTTGCCTCCCCACCAGGCCTGTCCCTCTTTCTGGGGGCCGTCTGAGGGGTCAGGCGGGTCTGTGTCACCTCCTTCAGGCCTGTCCATCCTCTCCCGGGGGCTGTCTGAGGGGTCAGGCAGATCCGTGTCACCTCTTCCAGGCCTGTCCATCCTCCCGGGGGCTGTCTGAGAGTCAGGCGGGTCTGTGTCACCTCCTCCAGGCTTGTCCATCGTCATGGGGGCTGTGCTGCGTCGGATCCCATTGGCTGTGCTCTTTGGGATCTTCCTGTACATGGGGGTCACGTCCCTGTCTGGTATCCAGCTGTCCCAGCGTCTGTTGCTCATCCTCATGCCAGCAAAGCACCATCCTGAGCAGCCCTATGTGACCAAGGTAGGGCCAGGAAGCATGGGGGTGGGGCAGTGGGCTGATAGGAAGGGGATCCAGAGGGATCTGGGCGCATCGATGGACGGGATGAATATGAAGGAGAAAGTGGGACCTGGGAGCCAAATTCCCCATGATATGGGTGGGAGCAGGCCGGGATGCTGTGCACCGAGGCCCACCGGCTGCTCCCTCAGGTGAAGACGTGGCGGATGCACCTGTTCACCTGCATCCAGCTGGGCTGCATCGCACTGCTGTGGGTGGTCAAGTCCACGGCGGCCTCACTCGCCTTTCCCTTCCTGCTGCTGCTCACGGTGCCTCTGAGGCATTGCCTTCTGCCCCGGCTCTTCCAGGACAGGGAGCTGCAGGCGGTAAGGGGGTGGTGGTTTGGGGAAACAGTATGAGGGCAAATGGGCACTGGGTTCCAATCTCTGTTTGGCCACCCACTAGTTGTGTTAGTTGTGAAACTTGTGTTGCAAGTTATCTCACCTTCCCAAATCTTATTTTCACCTGTATTATAGGGGTAATCATAGATCCTACCTTATAGGACTGTTGGGAGGGTCAAGTGCTAGTCCAGGTAAAGGCCTCCGGATGGTGGTTTTGTACGGGAGTAGGCACGGGGCTGCTGCACACAGCTGTGCAGGAAACACCCAGCTGAGAGGCTGCAGGGTTGATGTGGCACTGGCGTTCACCCTGAGCCCTGTTTTTGTCAACTAGAGGAAAAGGCATCTTTTTGCAATTCATCCATACTCAAACATGGTGTACAAAGGTACCACAGCAACTAGAAGTGGCCTCAGGAAAGAGCTTCATAATAATAATCATTATTATTATCACCAGGAGGGGCCTGGTATCTGATCTGGGAGGTGACCTGAAGGCTTTGGCCAAGGGCAATGCTGCCATCCAGGGTCATGGTACTTGCAGAGAGGCTCAGGAAAGGTCGGGGAGCAGGGAGGACTGCAGGTTGGAGGAGCTGGAGAATGGGAGGGGATGAGCATGCTTCCCTGCCTTCCCCAACCTTCTGTTCCCTCTGCAGCTGGACTCGGAAGATGCTGAACCAAACTTCGATGAGGATGGCCAGGATGAGTACAATGAGCTGCACATGCCAGTGTGACCCTGGAAGACAGTGTCCCTCAGAGACCCCAAGACCTTAGGGATTGACATCTGGGCCTCAGGTAGAGCCCAGCCCCGGGCCGGGGGGCTCCTCAGGACCCAGAGATGTGCCTGGAACCACTCCTGATGCCATGGCTAGAGTGGCCCCCATGACTTCTGCCTGGGGCGTTGACCTCGCCTCACCTTTCACAGACCAGACCGGCACAGGCTTTGAGCTCATTATAACCACACTCCTTGTCTCGTGTCTGCCTCACTTTCTTGGTTCCATCTTTGGTTTCTCAGGTCATACTTATCCATTTGGAATTGGAAGAATTCTATTTTCAGGGTCATCAAAACCAGGGAGAGGTTTGAGTCAAGGACAGAGTCCTTGGGAGACAAAGAGAGAATGAAGACTGCAGAAGGCCAGAGCTGGGCCTTATCATCACCCCCCAGGCCCCCTCAAGTGCGACCGAGGAGCGGACAGTGGGGGTGGGGGCACTCAAGGTCTGCTCAAGGTCACATGCCCATGAATCCAGCTCCTGCTTAGCAAGAGGGAGAACCGGGGAGGGGAGAGGGAGAAAGTTGCTCCAGTGTAGCCACTGGGGAAATCAGAGGCTGTGGGGCCACAGAAGGAATGGAAAACGTCTCTCTTCTTTTCTTGATCTCTGGCCTTCGGAGGAGCAGAGATAGCAGCCCAATCCCCTAGACGCCAGGGTGGTGCCGGATTTGGGGACCCTGGACCATTTTAGATTCTACTGTTTTAGAGAGGCAGTTCTGGGATTCCTGAGGCCACTCCTTGTGCAACAGTCTCAGTTTTGCCAGAAATAACCTGGGAGACTTGAGGGGAGCAGGAGCCCATTGCGTCATAGTTGCTAGGCAACCCCCAGCCTGAAGGAGCGCATCGTCCCCCGTTGCCCTCTGGTGGCTACTCTCGCGTGCTGCAGGCTCTGTCCCGGCTGAGGAATAGCAGCACTGCCACCTGCTGGATCCGCGGAGCTCAGAGAGCCCATTCGAGCGCATCTAGTTCCTCCCGAGGAGACCAGCCCGGACAGGCACGTTCCGTGGTCTGCAGCTCTGGGCAGCTCAGAGCTTCTGAGGCCGGGGATCCCTCAGCCCCTAGCAATTTCCTCCGGAGCTGGTGCTGCTGCTTTGTTCTCTTTTTCCAATTTTGCTCCCCGATGTGCTGAACTCCTATCAACTCCAGTGGCGAAGGCACCAGGCTCAAGAGGTGGGAAAAGAGACCCAGACTAGCAAAGGAGACATGGGGTTTTACTGGGTCTTACATACAGGGGAGAGAGTCCAGCGGTGGTGAGCGGGGGCAGGAGGAACCACAACCGCTTGCAAAAAGCAGTTTCTGTAGCATTTCCACTTAGCACCTTCCCCCTAACAACCTCCACCTGGGGATCTTCATTCAGCCCAGACTTGGGCCTGGACCTTTACCTTTATGGCTGTGTTCCACAGCCGGGGGCTCAGATGTTTCTCGTAGACAAGGTAGACAAGGAAGGACTCTCCAGGTTGGCGACTCCTGGATTCCCTAGCTTGGAACATACATTCAGGTGCGCCTGCCACACAGGGCCATTCTCAGGCTGTGCTTAAGTTCCTGCCGTCAGGTGCGGTTATCATACACTCCCAGGTTCAGGCCAACAGCTGGTGCCCCGAAACTGGTCAGGAGAGAAGGGACAGGCCACCGTGAGGCTGTTTGTTGTGTTCCTAAGGAAAAGAAGAGCCCTCCAGATGCCCTGGATTATTGTCCGGGTGTAAGCATTTTATTCCTGTCCACCTAGGCTCCCTGGGTCTCTGGTGCCATGTGACCTCTAACTACATTTAGCCTCTCCCCTGGTGTATATGAGGACAAGATTCCTTTTCCTTTAGATTGGCCAAGGCTGGGTGGAATTTCAAAAGAACTTTGCCAAGGAACGAAGTCAAGGTCAAACGCAAAACCTAGAAGGGACCAGTGCAGAGAAGATTCTAAACACAGATGGCAGGGGCCACTCAGACGAGTTTGGTGGAGAGGCTTTGCACGTGAGGACCCTGGTTCCTTCCCAGAGTCCTGCTTCTCCTTGCCAGCCTGGATGCGGTCAGGTTCCCCTGTTTGGTCTCGGGGATTCCTAGACCCCACAGGAAGGAACTGCACTTTTTCCAGCCCCTGCAAGGAAATGTCAGTGTGGGTCTAGAAAGCTGGATTCCTCACTGGACACAGATGGTGTCAGTCATCTCTGCTTGGCAAATAGCTGCAAACTGTGGGTGTTCCTCCACTGCGAAATGAAGAGGGGCGGGGCCGTCTGACACGGGGAATGAGTCCTGGTCCCGGCTGGTGGGTCAGGGTGGACTCCAGCAAAGCTGGGGCTTGAGGCCTCGGAGCAATAGGCGAAAAAGCTTCAGTGACAGCCAGTGATAACCGCTTGTCACCCTGGCAGCGTTACTCATTTAAAGACGACCACATCCATACCAAGGGAGGGCAGCCGTCGTTTAGGAAGGGCAGGAGGCCAGGGTTAGCTAACATTCTGAGCTCACCCAACACACTCAGGGTGACCATGGAGGATTGAGAAGACCCAGGATGCTGCGGCAACCAAAATGGCTGCCAGGGATGCAGACCCAGGGGGATAGGAGAGGAAAGAGAGACCCAGCTTGGGTGTGTGACACAGGGGACACCAGACACACGGCAAACCCATAGAAAGGCAATGGGCCTGGCCTGGGGCTTGGCTGGTCAGAGAGCGTGTCATTTGGGGACATTCAGAGTTTGTCCTGAAGCCCTTTGTAGCCCTGGTGTTTCCTCCTCTGACTTTCTCTTCACCGGGCCTCTGACCTTCCCCTCTTGGAGTGCTGGGGCCCTCAACTCCGGCCCTTTTCAAGATGCAGAGGAGAGTTAGTGGAGGGGAGCCCCAGCCAGCCCTGATGGCCCAGCTCTGGGGGGTAGGACAGGACAGTTACTAAAAAGGGGACAAAAGCCATTGTATTTTTGAACATCCGGCCTCTCTGCCATCTGCTCTGGACTGGAAGTGGCTTTGGGAACGTGCACGTGCACCAGCCCTTCAGTAAGGACATCCAGCCTGTCGCCATTTCCCCCTCCCCTTACTGCTTTCTGAGTGGGGTTATGGCCACATCTTGGGCAGCTGCCTAAAGCTTTTATTATCCCCGGACAAGTTCAGGCCCACTTCAGGCCCTGAGGAGTGCTAGCTCATTCTTTTACTTTGGGCAAAGAGGGCGGCTGTCACTTTCTTGTTCATGCTGAGGATTCGGCTCACTCAAGATATCTGATGCCCTTGTGACAGCGTCTGGCTGTCCGAGCTCATAGACCATCTGCTGGGATTGCCCTGGGCCCCTCCTTTAGGGCACAGAACGTGGCAATAATGTGTCCCATTTGGCAGCCTGTGTGACATTTCTTCTTGTATCTTATCAGGTGACTCAAATAATGATCATGCCTGTTGACACTTGGAACTCTCAAAGGGAATTCTAAGCAGCAAAGGAAAGGTGACACAGAACTCAAGGGCACCTGCGCTGAGCACTGCCCGTGCAGCTTGCGATTAAGCCATTGCCGAAAACAACAATAAAACAGATTTTGGGCAAGCAGGGAGTGGTGGATTGAATCCAGTGTGGCAAAAAAGGAAATGCAAAGTGAGGAATGTAGTTTTCAGATAAATAAATTATATAATTGTGATTCACCACTTGTGCAAAGAGCAGACTCCGGTGTTTGTAGGATTTATGTTCTGGAAGGAAGATTTAATATTTGAGCCTGCTGCTGAGATTATTTTTAATTTTGTTGGAACTGTTTCTTTTTACTGAACAATGCTTTATTAAGTGCTGACTAAGCGGACAGCCACTGGGATGTTCTCTGGATGGTGGATGAGTCACAGTTGAATTTGGGAGATGGGGAGGAGGAGCAGGGAGCTCTTTAATGCCTGCAATTCCAGGGACAGGGCTCAGTCCCATGGGAGAGGAGGGACAAAGAGGAGGTGGGGCACAGCTGGTGATGAGGAAGGGGCTGGGAGCAAGGGCTCAGAGCTGGTAGGAAGGTGGGGGTGAGGGGAGCATGGAGAAGGGTGCAAAACCAGACTTTCATTTGTGAGTCCCTAAGCATCCCCTGCCACGCCTCCTCTGTCACTGCATGCCCATTGCGTGTTCTTGTCTGTCTCCTTCTAGGCTGTGAGATGGGCAGAGACCTGGCCTGAGTCTTCTTTGTACTCCTAATGCCTCCTACAGTGCCTGGTCACAGGGGTGCATGGAGGGCAAGGGGGTGAGCTGGTGGCAGAGAAAGAAGGACCAAGAGGTCGCAGACTCCACCACATTTAGATCCAGTGAGCAGTGCGTGCTCGTCTGTGATAACTGGTTATCGGGAGAGAGACCATAGCAGTCCTTGGGCTCTAGGGCCACCAGAGAGCTCATGCAGCTTTTCCAGGCTTGGGAGAGAGCAGGTGGGTCGGGGGAGCTTAGGAAGGAGACATTCTCAGGAAGTGGTGTCTCTTCCAGGGACATCCTGCCTAGACTGTAAGGCCTAGAGCAGCTGGTCAGGATATCAGGCTCTTGAGATAGGTGGAATTTTCCCACGAATGTGGCCCACACAGCAAACAACATTTTTAACTTCATTTTTAAAATTATTTTTATTTCAGTAAGTTTTGGGGAACAGGTGGTGTTTGGTTACGTGGATAACTTCTTGAGTGGTGATTCCTGAGCTTCCGGTGCACCCATCACCCGAGCAATATACACTGTACCCAATCAGCAAACAACATTTTAAAATAACCAAGTTGTGTCAACAAATACAAAGCAGCAAGTCCTCAAAACTACTGAAAAGAGCCCAGAACTGGGGAACGTTTCTCTGAGATCAAAGGAGTCCCCAGGCAGTGTTTCCCCAAGTGGGGAAGAATACCAGTAGTGGTGCGTGAGACGATTGTAGATGGGGTTTTGATAGTTTAGCTGTCACAGTTATATATTTTCATGTGTTTTAGAAAAAAACACAATGAGTACTTGAGCCCCATAATTTTGCAGACAGTATTGTGTAGGATAAGTCTAAATACATATGTTAAAAATAGTGAATTGATTTAAAGGAAAAGTACTAAGTTTATAACTGCACAGTTAGTAGGCATATGATATGGTTTGGATCTGTGTTCCTGCCCAAATCTCGTGTTGAATTGCAATCCCCAGTGTTGGAGGTGGGGCCTGGTGAGAGGTTATTGGATGATGGCAGCGGATTGCCCCTTGGTGCTCTTGCGATAGTGAGTGAGGTTTCATGAGATCTGGTCATTTAAAAGTTTGTTGCACCTCCCTTCTCTCTCTTGC